ATATATATAAATATATACAAATTATATATATCTTGATATATATATATGTATAATTTCACTAGAGAAGGTGGTTTGTAATATTGAATACGTTATAAGCCAGATATTATGTGAGTGGATGTGCTGAGAACAACAAAGAGACGAATATTCTAAGCAGTACATACTCAGTGTTTATAACAGTAGGCCACCACCTGTTGCTCACTAACAGTGTACATATAAATAGTACAGTACAAACTGCTTCTCACTATTTATTAGGATGCGTAATGAACAAATAACCACTCACAAAAAAATGTATAAGAATAAACGACCAACCACACAACAAACAAGTATAAGAATAAACGACCAACCACACATATAGAAGTATAAGAATAAATGAATAACCACACAACAACAAAAGTATAAGAATAAACGAACAACCACACAACAAACAAGTATGAGCGTCGTGACACACCGATAGAATTGCAGTGGTCAGAATCTTGAGTTGATAGGACACCTGGAACGTAGCAGCGTCTATGAGAGGAATGATAAACGTAGCAGATAATGTAACGGAATGGATATGAGTTGATCATGTAAGATAGCATGACAAGAAACGTATGAACACGGCAGGAAAGTGCGTTGGGAGATCCTATTGCTGGGATGCAAGGATACAGCGGGCGTCCCCACGGGTGACGTAGGGTTACCCACGGTACAAGCCGACACATACTACGAGTGAGCGTTTAAAACCCTAAACCCTAACTACAAGTGAGAGCTCTAAGACCCTAAACCCGAGTGAGCGTTTGGTATGAATTACACACTGCATAGAAGAGTCGAGGTGTGATAGAGGGAGAAACATCGGTAGATATAGTATCCATCGGTACGAGTTTGTATTAAATATATCTGTATGATTGTAAGTAAATATGGCTATAGTTTGGATCCTGTATGACTGTAGGTAGGTATGGCTATAGTTTGGATCCTGTATGATTGTAGATAGATATAGCTATAGTTTGGATCCTGTATGACGGTAGGTAGGTATGGTTATACTTTGGATCCTGTACACTTGTAGGTAGGTATGGCTATAGTTTGGATCCTGTATGATTGCAGGTAGATATGGCTATAGTTCGGATCCTGTATGATTGTAGGTAGATATGGCTATAGTTTGGATCCTGTATGATTGTAGGTAGATATGGTTATAGTTTGGACCCTGTATGATTGTAGGTAGGTATGGCTATAGTTTGGTATGCACTACACACAGCATGGAAGAGCCGTGGAGTGGCTGAGCAAGAAACATAGGTAGATAGAGTATCAAACATTATCAACTGGATTAGATGTACCTGTGTAGTTGTAAGTAGGTACGGCTATAGTTTGAAATATTTATGATCGCGCAATACCCAGCGAACAGTATTGTATGCTGTGCTTGTCTCGGATGAGAGCACACACACACACACATA